GATTTGAATGCTGAAATGCAGAGAATGCTTAAGAGAGATCTAGGAACTGCAAGCATGGTGACCAGAGGCAGGGGGCAGAATCTGATCTCATAATTATCCAGGAAAATAAAAACAATAGGATGCAGTTCAAACACAAGAAGAACAGCATACAGCAGTGCAACAGAAGTAAACAACTGTACAAACACAGGGAGGAAATTGCCCATTCAGTAATAACTGCAAAAATTCAAACACTCCCGAGTAATGACAGGTCATGAACGGGCTGTGTCAGCACATTGCTGTGAAAAAGGAAGTCTCCAGCTGGGAAATGCAAAAAAGTGACACCAGGACAACACTGAAAGAAACTCCCCTACTCCATATGTTATTGCCAGAGCTTGGCTACTGTGTAGTGTCCACTTATGGCATTCCAGAGTCCAAAAGGCAAAAGGGAGAATGACTGAAAGACCAGAAATGTGATGTGTGAGAAAACTCTGAAGGAACCAACACAGCTTAATTTGTAAATGCAAGTTGGCCTATACAAGATATTGGCCCTCGAAGAAGTAAAAATTGCTTCTAGAGAGGAATGCAGCAGTGAGAAGGGAAGGCAAGGCAAAGCAGAGCAGGCAAAGCAGGGAAGGCAAAGCAGTCTTCAGGGAAATTCAGCTCCTCAATGGCTTTGAGACCAGGCTCTGGTCATGTGATTGCAGTTCTTCCCTGGTCAGTCTCAGGAAACCACTCACTCAACTCCTCCTCAGATGCTGGGAATGGCCAAGGTTTGCTGGCAACTCCACATTCCTCCAGGGTCCTGTTTTTTAGAAGCTGTAGAGAAGATGATGCAGGAGCTGTGCTTCTTGAGCCTCAGTCTGTCTCACAGGACATGGGCACTTGGCTCCTGCAGTCACTGCCACTTCTCCTCCTTCCCTGCAGTAAGTGTTGGGTATGCAGAGACATTTCCCACAGTGCCCACAGAAATCCCTGTCCATGTGGCTATCAGGCACTCTTGGGGAAAACATTTCAGGCATGACTATTTTTGATTATGATCTTGTGGCATAAGCTCTACCACCTGGGCTTGTTTGGTATAAGAAGGAGCCAAGAAAGTGCTGCTGACAGGGCAGTTATCAATGACCATGCAGGACATGAAACAGCAAGAGGCTCATCCCCACTAGCCCAGGAAAACCTTTATAAAGAAACCACCACAGGTTTGAGCCATGACACAGTGCACCCTGTTCCTTCATGGCATTCTCCCCTTGCAGCACAGTCCTGCCACAGGACTCCCCAGGACACCTGCTGCTCTCTGGGCACAGGGCTGAGCCAGGGACAGCCGGGACAGCTGCAGCAGCCCTGGGGTGAGCAAACCCCACTGAAGCAGGGGACCTTGGCTGCAGGGCTTTCCCCATGGCAGTGACGGAGGCAAAGCAAGGATGGGCACAGCACTTTTGCCAGGGCTGACATCCCAGGGAGGAAAGACAAGTAAATTGGTGGGAATTTTATGGGAGACCTAAGTGTAAACACGGCAGGAGAAGGAATCCCCCCAGGCTGAGGGAGCAGGGAGCCATCCCAGGGCCCAGATGGGTGTTAGGATAGGACTACAGGACTCATGATGGTCTGAAGAGGAGGCAGATTTGTCTCTGCAAGTGAGCCCAGCTCCTCTGTCCTGAGTTTTTAAGCTGAAACTCGGTGGGACAGGGCTCAGGAGAATCAGCTAGCAGTTGCCAAGGGGCGGCAGTGGGCAGTGGCGCCGGGCCCGTGTCTGGCAGGAGAAACCCTCCCGTGCAGCCCTGCGGGGCCCATCCCCGCTCCGCGGCCTCACGCGTGGGCTCGGCTGTTCCGCAGGTTTTACTCCCATCTAGCGGCGGATCCCGGCTCCAAGCGGGCCCCGGCACCCAGGAGGGGACATCCCGCGGCTTGGCTCGGCCGGGGCTGTCAGAGCCCCTCGCTGTCGAGGGGAACAGGTGACACAGGCAGGGGCCGGGGGCTGCCCTGAGCGCGGGCCCTCTGCCAGGGGACCTGCACGGCTAAGGGGTCATCCCTCAGCCTCTGCTCCCAAGGGCTCTCCCCCCTCTTCCACAGAGCTCTCGATGAAAAACTCATTTTTAACATCTACCCCAGCTTCTTCCCGAGTCGCAACACCTCAGTTTGGGTTTATCCCTCCCCTTCCCAGGCCCTCCTCTCCCCCCAAAGTTTGGATCCTGCTGGATGAGACCCCAGCAGACATGGACAAAATGGGCCATGGACTGCCTGGCACCATCAGCAGGAGCTGCAGCAGGCATCCGGGAATGAAAATTTAAATCTTTCTCAGCACTGGGCAGCCTGGAAGGGAATAAAATGACACCATTCCTCATAGCACAAGCCCATTTTGTTAGGCACAAAAGGTCAGTGTGGAGAAGTTCAGAGGGTAGAATCCAGTGAAGAAAAAAATCCAATACTCATTTGTGAACCAAGATTAGCTTTACAATTTCTCCAAAACCCTGCAAGAGTATCTGATAGAACAAACAGCTCCAGACAGTCTGCTTTTGCAAGTACTTTGTCCCAGCCCTGAAACACAAGGGTTTTCCTGGCATCTGCTTTAAACTTTGTCCATTATTTTAAACTGCTGGCAGACTGGCACTCCTTTTTGAAAAGCCCATTGGGGCAACATGCAATGGTCCCACACAGGCTGTGTGAGCCAGGTTGGACAGGAAAGGCAACCACAGCCCCTGGAGTGTGCAAGGGGGCAGCTTGGGGAGGGCAGCTGGGATCAGCCTGAAAACCAGGATAGCAATAGGAGACAGGAGAGTTAGCAGGTGTGAAGCTGGCAGCTGGAGCTCAGAGAGATGGAACCAGGACTCCTGAAAAGCAAACAGGAAGGGCAAACCCATGCAGGATTATTTATTTTAGCTGTTAATTTGCTGTCAGTGGAGCCAGATGATGAGGTGGTGGGGAGGCACCCAGGCGTGAGGGCAGAAACCCATCTTCAGGTGCCCATATGGCCTTAGGTCAGATTAAGCCAACTAAAACCTTATCCTAAAGCCCTTTACTGCAGTAGGAAGCCCAGCTGCTATGAAGTGGGAAAAAATCAGGTCCTTGCTCCTGGCTCTGCAGCACTGCCTCTCAACCTCTCCTCTCCACATACACAAGCTCCAGCTCTTTCTATAAAGCACAGGACACATCCTGCCTATCCTGCTCATTACTGTCTTTCACAATCTTCCCATAAACCTGCTGGTTATTTGGCAGGCAGACATACCTAAGTGGTCTGTGCATTCTGCTTTACAGCAGAGTTGAGTTCCCAGCGTTTTGTTGTCCTACAAGTCTCACACTCTGGTAAGGGGCCACTCTCACAGCCCACATAATTGATAGATCATGTAGGCATATTTCCCTGTAATGCCCCATAATAACAACGTAAACGATAAACGTAGAAGAGCCACGGCTCTTTCCATGTCCCAGTGCCACTAGATGGCACCAGGAGTGTACCCTTCCCAGCCCGGGTGTTCCCAGGGCCACTGGGGGAATCCATCCCAGCCCTTCCTTGCTTCAGGGCCAGAGACCTCAAGCACACTCCAGTGCCTCCTCGTCTTTTCTTCATGGACCGTGGGGTGCTGCTGTAAAGGCAGGCATTTCTGCCTTAAAATCCTTCAGATGTGCTGGGGAGTATAGTCTGTGGTGGCTTTTGCCATGTTGCCTGTCACACACTCCCCTCTTTTCCCACCCGTGGACCAGGCATCACTTCCAGCTGGGTGCTGGAGAGAACAGCCTCAAAGGTGGGTGCAAGTTATTCTGATTAATATTGGGATTAACATATGTTTCCCATTATTGACAGGCTCCTCTTGGAAGGGATAGGAATAAAACACAATTGACTATATGATTTTGCCATCAGAAGGTTTGCCTTCTCTGAGGTCTTACAGTTTTAGGGATTGATTCTCCTCATGCACATTTGATATCCAACAGATCTCAGTATGTCCAGAGCATTACCTGTGTTTTTCACTATCAAACCCTCTATTCCCCGTCACATCCTTGGCAAAGTCACTAAATAAACCAGGGAAGCACAGATGGCACCTCACCAAATGTCAGGTCTTTCCTCAGACCTTGCAGCATAATTAAGGAGTATCTACTTCCCACTGCCCTCAGCATCAAGCCCTGAAGGAGATGGCAGCTCACTTGAGGGGAGTGCCTGGCAAGGCCCTATAGCAGCACTTCAAAGCAGCCAGCCAAACCCTGGCCCCGAGCAGTGTGGGGGACTTGGGTGACAAATCGTTGCTCATCACACAACCCCTCTGCCCAGAGCAGAGCTGGAGAGGTGATGGAGCACAGCTTCCAGAAGAGCCAGAGCAGCTTGTCACTCCTTCCTGCCCACATTCCAAGCCTGGCATGTCTAGTTGATGGGTTAGCATGACAGTGGCACAACCCTTGTGGCAAGGAGATCCCAGTGAAACCTTGGGTGCAAAGGGAATGCGAGAGGGACTTTGTGCAGGGAGCCTCTGAGTGATCCTGTCCTGCTTGCAGAGGTGGAGTCACTGGAAGAAAGGCCAAATGGGAGATGCATAGCACAGCTCCATGGTGGTGCTGTCAGGCTGGTGGCAATGGCAGAGCTGTCCCTGCCCACATCCCAAGGCCACAAGGTAATCCTGCAGGAGAATCCTGAGTGTGACCCTGCTTCCCAGCCCTCTGCAGAGAGTGGCACAAATCCCACACAAGCGTTTTAACCCCAGGTTAGGGTGAAAGCTAGAAAGGAGGAGGCTGGATCATTTGGGAAGTTCAGGTCACACAACAGAGTGGGTTAAAATCTGTCATCCATTCCATGAAACAAGGAAAATCCCTCATCCTCCCTCCCTCCTCCCCTCCCTGATCACCTCAGATTGTCCTAGGGAGTGACCCAACATTCCCTTGCCAGTGCCTCCCCTCCTGGGGAGCCGCCTGGAGCCTCCCTACACACCATCTGCTCTCCGCAGGTAACTCGTGGGTGCCCAAGGACATCCCTCCCACACCAGGCTGTGGGAGGGATCACCCCCAGCCAACATCCCTGAGCCCTCTGGCTCTGACAGACTTCATTGAACCTCATGGGTCAAGTCTTTATTTGGTCTCTTGATGAGTGGATGCTTCACACATGGTGCAAAAACTTGCTGCTACAAAACCTCATTGATCTGCACACAGCAATGGCAAGCCTGGTGTCCCTCAGGGCTCCCAGCTGCTGATTCCAAGCAGAACGCATCCTTGTCTGGCTGCAGATGTCAAACAGCAGACACACACAGACATCGACATGTGCATGGCCAGAGCTGTCCACATGCTGACAGATTATTTTTGGCCCGACAGTGATGGAAATGTCAGAGAAGGTTTCATTTATTTTCTCTGGAAGGCTTGTTGCTTGAAATCCCCATTGGCAGAGGCTGACCCTGACCCTGCCATCACAATAGGGTCTGTCATTCAGGTCTGACATCCCTCCCCACCCTTGAAAAAATATGCAGTTCAGCAGGAGGGATGGGTGACTGGCTCAGAGTGCCTAGCAGGGCTGGCAACCTTCAGAAGGCAGGTGCTCATCCCACCCTGCAGCCCAACCCACGCCCACCCAGCCAGGTTGTGGGTCCCCCAGATTCCCCAGCCTTCCCACATCACAGGGAAGTTCTCACTGAAGCTACAGTGGACAGCTATGAAATGTTAGGGACACCAGCACTGGCCTTTTGAACAGCTGTGCAGTCAGGAAGGGCAAGCAGGCATGGCCTGCCCTTCAGTGACATGAGGGATGAAGTGTAGCAGTGCCAAGGTCTCCTGGTGCCCTGAAAGCACACAGAGGACTCTCTGGAGATGGAGCAACTCAGCACTGCACCAGGAACAAAGCTAATGACAATTACAAACCTGTCCTGGCTCCTTTCTAGCTCACAGGACCCCATCTGCACACAGGGCTCTGGGATGGGGCACCTGTGCCCCTGGGGTGATGGCACAGCACTGCAGAACGTGGCAGCACCCAGCTGGGTCTGCATTTCTCATGGTACCAGGGCGTGACATGTCTGCTGCTACACACATTGACAGGTTTTGCACAGACTTTCCCGCTTGTTAGGGAAGCAGACTCGAGGGGGAATGGCTGCTCAGAAAAACACTGGCCCATCTGAGGTAGAGTTTTTTGCTCAGTTATGTTGTCAGAGAGGAGCAGTAATGGCCTATATTCACACAATAGCAAAGGAGGGCCTTGAACCACATCCAGCTTGGCAGCTGTGACCACTCCATAGATAACCAGGAAGAAGTCAGTGTTTTTCCTTTGGAACTGCCCATTTACATGTGAAAACTAGCAGAGACCTTGCCCAGAGGCTGGGACAAATAGCTCCTTTTACTGCCTGCTTCCCATGAGGTTTTTCCCCTCCCTCTCCAAGAGGAAATTTCCAGTAACTGAGGTATAAAAATTAATGCAAGACTATGTTCCTGAACCAGCTGTAAAACTCATACAGGAAGAACTCTCCATCCCACACCTCACCATGGCAGGCTGCCCCCAAAGCAAGTCACAGCCTTCATGAGAGAGGGACGAGGCAGCTTTGTCTACACCCTCCTGGTGCAGGTCAGGCTTTGGGGGGTAAATTGAGGTGCCTAGACCTGCAGGCATTGCCAGCACAGTCAGCCAGGCAATATTCCCTAACAGAGGTCTTGGATCCCTTGTGAGGTTGCAATGATGGGACACCATGTGGTACAGCAGTCCTTGGTTTCCTTAGAGATGTCATGGAACAAGGCATGGAAACAGAGAGGAATTTGGTGAGGTGAAACCTTCCTCCTCCACTCTTGCCACATCCTGAGAATAACCACCAGGACTCAGTTGCATGGCAATCTCTAGGAGGTTTTGAAGAAATGTCTTTCTACCATATCCATTTCATCTTACTCCTGGATTTTACATCCAGGATTTACAATTGATTAAATTTACATTTAATCTTATGATTAGGATTTGACCCACATGTTTTTGCCACAAAAGTGCAGGAATTTTGTCTTCCATGGCTGATAGGCTTCTCCATGCATCCAGCTGCATGTGAAGATTTCAAGGAGCTTGCAGACACTGTCACAGGGGAGCAAAGCCTCATGTCTTCCCCAGCAGGCCTGAGGATAGGCAAGAAAAAAGCTGGGTAATTAAACAGCATTCATCAGAACATGTGCAAGAGTCAAACAGCAGAAAAATCTCTCCTGTGCACACTCTTGCATGAATGAAGTGTCTTGTATTGACACTTACCTGCTGATTGTGTTACCTGCTGAGATCCTCCACTTCCTTGGCTAAGCAATCCATGGGCCCACAGCCATGGGCAGCACCCCTGCTGCTGCCTGCCCTCCCCACCCAAACCTTCTCATTCCTCTTCTGGAAGGACATTTCATGCTAACATGAAACAATCAAAACCAGTGCTTTTCCAAAGTCCTGCCACCTCCATATACAGGAGGGAGAAATAAGTTCCTGGCTAGGAGGAAGCAGCTGATTCCCAGAGAGCCTACAGATCACACCCTAGCAAAATCAAAGGGCTGGGATGGAAGGGGGAAGGTGGCACATCCCATAACTGATTTCACCTTTACTGATACCCCTGAACTCAGGTGAGGCCACCAATCTGTGCTAGGCATGTATGTCCACCACACTGCAGACTCAGCTGGGTCTGCTGGGATTTGGGAGCCTATTTACCTACAGGGGATTTCAGCCAATAGGAGACTTACAATGCTTTAAAAACATGTTCCTCGATATCTTTACTAAAGCAAAGGTGACACTATGTGTAATTTCTTTAAAGCCAAGTATAAGCATGGGTGGCTGACAGCCGTCTTGTTATATCAGAATAAGTTTTCATTAGGAGGAGAAGCTTTTGTGCTTATTAATTGTTTCTATAATTGCTTTCTCTCCCCTGTGCCTGGAGGGCAGAGTCCTGCATACCTCATCCCTGATCTGCTAACATGGATAACTATAAATAAATGGTGACACCTGGGAGTGGAGGAGGAAAGGGACTATGCTTCTCAACCTCAGCCTAGTCAGCTTATGCAACAGAAAGTAACTGCTGACAATCCGTAGTTATTAACTGAGTGGTACTATTTCTGATAGCTGAGGGCTCTGACCTGGCCAACATTAAACAAAATTCTCCACCTCTGAGCTGGAGCTGGATAACTTTGGACTAAGAAGAAGCTGTCAGTCATTTAAAGTGAAGAAAATAGCTGCATGTTCTCCACTAAGCAGTATTTTAAAACCATGAGGAACTGCTTAACTTCAAAATCTGCTGCAATTTATCCTCCCCAAAAATTAAAAATGCCCATTTGTGACTACAAAGGAGTCCCTCGGGAGACTGAAAGGTGATGGCAAGTACTCCAAATGAGCTTTGGCAATTCTCACTATTGGATTTAACTCCTTACAGTGACAGTCATCCCTCTGATTTTAATGCTCTTCCCTTCTACCATCAGCTGCTGCTGCCAGGACACTGTGGACACATTTGCCTCTGGTTCTCGTAGCACAGCACAGTCACCTAAATGGGACCAAGCCTGGTTTAATTAATGCAGCTGTCATGGAGGGGGCAGTGGTGGGGCTCCCATATCCCTCTCCTCAGCACCAGAGAAGCAGGAGGTTCACAGAGAGGATCCTCCTTGGCTTGTCCTGCTAGAAGGCAACAGCATTTGCCTGGGAGAGTGTACCCATGCAGAGGGTAAGAGCTGGAAAGGGGGGATGCTGCAGAGAGACCTTGCTGCAGGGACACACAGACAGGAGTGAAAGATGGGGAAGAAGAACCATCTTTCAAAGTCTTCTTCTTTGTTCCTCCTGTAACCTGAATCACTCATCTAAGCATTCAGCACTCTGCACTGCCTACAGCACCATCCTCCAGGGTGTGGAAGTCTGCAGGCAGAGAGAGGGAAGTAGAGCCAGTAGTGAGGACCTTGGGGAGGTGAAGCTACAGCTCCACCTCCCTGTAAGCAGGGTGCCTATACAGGTACATGTCACACACAAGCACACTCTCACATATACCCACCTTTGCTAACAGCAGAGGCAGCCACAGAGTCCATATTTTCTAGGTTTTACTTCTATATCTGCAAAAAGCAAGTTTGCTTCTGTTTCTGATTCCCTGCAATTATCGTGAAATGTCTTCAAGAGAGCAGCTCTGTCCTCTCGGCTGAGCACATCTTTGATGTCCAGCACTGCACTCAGATGTTCCTTCCTTTCCAAAAGGACAAGAGGGCAGGTAAGTGAATGAGTCAAAAAAAAAAAAAAATCTTGTTTCCTATCCCTCAGTTTTGCTGGACCAGACCAAAGATTGGAAGCTGCTTCTTGACACCCTCTGGCAACCTAAGGGGGAGGCCATATCCCAAGAACTGTGTGGGATGGGGCTGAGCTCATGGGTAAGCCCAGGTTACACAGCATCCCTGTGAAGTATTGAAAATGTTCAGCTCAGGTTATTCTTAGAAAAAGACCTGTATCTGTCATAAGAAGTTTCATATAACTCTACATATGACTATTTGGAAGCATTTTTTATATATTTTCTCCCCTCAAATGGAGCTAATTATTGTTCATGTGGAAGGTTACAGGATTTATGTTCTACAGAGCACTGTTCTGCTGCATGGGGATATGCCATATTGGATATAATCCAAATGTATCCAAGCCAAACAGTTTAAAACAGAGAAATCTGTTGCAATCAAGAACAGTGCATCCACTCACACCAAGATGACCTCCTCTAAGATCTGGGTCTTGTGAGACTTTTCTATGCCCACTTCCTATACTGTACACACAGATAGATAGATAGATAGATAGATAGATAGATAGATAGATAGATAGATAGATAGATAGATAGTTGCTATGCTGTATCAGATAAGCAGCTTTTTAGCTCAATAGCACCTTCAAAAGTAGTAAAGTAAAAAAGAAGAAACCAGATGAAGCATAACATAATCTCTTTGTCTTTCTTTTTATTATTTTTCCTTGCCTACAGCAAAGAAAATTAATAAAAAGAAAGGTACAATAGTCCTTCCTACAGAAATCTAGAGACTCCCTTGCTGCAAGTTTATATCATGATTGTCATGTTGAATAGGCACTGAAGTAATTATCACAAATTGTCTGCCCCACATTTGAAGGTATTTACACTTTCGGCCTTCACAGTATCCTGTGACAGAGAGGTCTACACTGCAATCATGTTAAGCTGGAAAAACAGAGGCACAGCACATCAGTACAAAAGATAGATGCAGTAAGCCACAGGCTTTGGAAAAAATGCAGTTAGCTAAGATCTCTCCTTCCTAGTAAAAGCTGTGTTTCAATTCTGTTAAGTTTCCTGTAAAAAATGTAAGTGTATATTGCTGAATGCACCTAGAAATTTGTGAAAATAGTTATAGAAGGTTGCCAAGCATTTGGAAGTTATGAAATGGCCAAGGATGTTCCTGAAACCTACATTTGACACATATGTGCTTGTAAATTCTGCACTAAGGAAGTACTTTTCCACAGTATTTCTGCTATGTTTACAGCAATTTCATCCATCCTCCACCTTTACAGAAGGACCTGTCAACATCACCAGTCCATGTCTGGCAAAGATATAAACCAGGCACCAGCGAGTACATTCAAAGGGTCACTAGGCCTGGACCAACACACTGCAAAAGTATCACAGGACTAATATAGAGGTAGGTCTTCTGGTGTCAAGTAATCATGTAAGAAAGTACAGAAGTCAAACCAATCAAAGACATTACCTGAGGTCAGGAAATTCTTTTAGAATGGGCAGAAGTGCTATTTTCATCCCCTCAGGATCAGAAGTTTGAATAAGTTCTAAAATTGCTTTTACGGGATCCTTGAGAGAACCAGCTGCAGGACCCTGGGGAGAGAAACAATGTTGTGTTCAGGGCAGAGGAAACAGCACAGCACATTAAGAGCTGGACTCGTGTCAGACTGGAGATCTCTCTGTGTGGATTAGGAGCTTTGCAGGAGTGTCTGTGCATATATAGAAGTCTGATTTTCCCCCAGGATAGCAGAAAAGAACCTGGGGAGTAGTCACAGACTACTAGGTAGTTGGACAACCATCTTCAGCAGCGCAGAATCCCCTCCTGCACTTCCTTTGGCAAAGTTGGCAAATGTCCCTCATTTTTCCCTAAGTTACCTGTCCTTTCAGGGCCATTTTACCCTGTGGGAAGTGGTTTGCCTCTGGAGGTAAGTACAGCCTGTGCTTGACCTGTGTGAAAACAAGCTTTGTTGGCCAAACATGCTGGCATTTCTGCTGCCTCAAAGCAAGCCCAGGGACAGAAAAGCAACCTTAGGGAGAGAATGAGGGGACAGAGATCCTCTAATAGAGAAAAACTGGGAAACAGGGCCAGACAGTGTAAAACACATGGCACGGTTTGTAGATGTTGCGTACGATCAACTCCCTCTAATCTGGAGCACACAGGAGAAAAAAAGTATCATCAAAAAACACACAGCATTTTTAGCAGAGCTGGAGAAGCACAATGCAGATGAACCACCAAGAGAGAGCTTTGGGTCTTGCTCACATTTTTCATCAGTGCAGTAATGCAATTAAATTGCTTCCCTGAATTATTAATGCCACCACGTCAAAGAGACTCTGTGACAAGGCAAACCTGGAGAACGGGCTGCCAAACTAGGGCAGGAGAAACCCAGGTTCTCCTGATCTCCAGGGGGCATTAGAAACAGCAGGTTGCATTCTCCATGCAGCAGCTCTGCATTAAACATGAATTTAAAATAATAATAATATTTGAAGACAGCCTTCCCCCTCTCCCCCTACACTGCAAGTACACAGCACGTCTAGCTCTGCTCAGTGCACAAGCTGTACTCAGCTCCTGAGGCACTGGTACTGTACAGCTTCATACTTGGCAAGCTCACTATTACAAAATGCTAATTAATTTGAAGGTGTCAGATTTAGTTAAGCACTTACATAGGCAGGCAAGGTCAGAGGTAAACAGCTAAAGGGAAAAAAAGGAGGTGTTTTGTCAGCAGTGTTTAAGTGCCTTTGACATATACTGCTCTTAGGAGAGAAGCAAGGTATTTCCTAATGTGTTTTGAGAACAGAGGGGAAGGAAGAGCCGAAAGAGGGGGCAGAGCAGGGCAGGGAGCAGGTGCAGCCTGTGCAGCAACTGCACGATAAATTCAGTCTGCAGCAGAGTTCATATTTCACATGCATAACCGTGAGCCCCATGACTAAGGAGCAGGCTGTTCCCTGCAAATCATTTGTGCATTTCACCTCCAAGGCTTTCAGTGCTTTCACATCAAGTAAGAAAATGCACATATTGTGACATTGGGGAAACAGCTCTAACCGGATGCAGCCCTTTTTCACACAAGCTTAGTGGGGTTTTAATAGATAATTAGATTTCCTGTATCTCCTTTACACTGTTCCATGCACGTTACATCCAAAGCCAGTGCTGAGCACAGCATTACTGGTAAACTTCAGAGTTAAGATTAGAGAACCTTCCTGCTATTCCCCATGTTGAATTGCTGAAAGCATTAATTCATCTGTGATTGATCACTCCAAGAGAGGTGGATCTCCAGCTAATAGCGCTGGCAGCTTCCAGCCTTCCACCATGAAACTAATGCATTGATTATAATGGGTCTAAGAGGATTCTAGAGAAGCCTACAGATGATAATTTTTATTTCATTTTATTCATTGGACAAGGTAAGAATTGCTGACATATGGCTTGGAAGGCACTTGTCTGTGAGAAAATAGATATTGTCCCTAGCACTAAAATAGGCAAGTTGTGAAAATGACTCAGCATTTGTGAAATTATTAAAACCAGCGTAGCCAAGGGGGTTTGTATGCTGTCACATCTGAGTGCTGTTACCAGACTGACTTTGCAAGCACTGCTGTGTTGCTCAGCCCAGCCCCTTATGAAGCACCATGCCTGGGCACTCTCAGCCTGCATCTGCCAATGAACCATGCCAGGGACATTGCACGGCAGTGATTCTCCAACTGGACCAGCTGAAGGAGGGGACACTGCTGCCAGTGCAATCCTTGCCCTTGGGTAATCAAGGGACTCGTGTGACAGCCTGGTGGCATCCGCAGATGCCAATTACACCAGATTATGAGGTGAGGCTTTTTAAAGCTTCTGAAGTTGTTTCTGCAAATCAGAACCAGAACTTCTGCACAAGTTTTCTTCAGAGGCGTGGCTCTGCTTTTACACCCAATTTTCTGCAATGCGCCTTCACCTCCTAATGGTGTGAGGTGTTTACCCCTGCAGGAAGACTCGTTCCTCCCCACAACTGTCAGCAACCACAACAGCATCAGCATGTTTTTGCCATGAGGAAATGCCAGAGCACAGGGAAATGGCTTAGGCAGCCATCATCCCAGCTATGAGGGGCTGGGAAGGGCCTGTGGGGAAGGAGAAGGCTGGATGGGAGGATGGACAAGCTCTTCCCATGTCCAGGGAGGAGCAGCCCTACAGAGCAAGGTGGAGATCCACAGAGCAGGTGGAGATGTGGAGCAGCCTGTTTGGTTCATCACTGCAGAGGCTCAAGGCAAAGTGTTGCCACCCCATGCCATGTACCAGAGGCCTGATGGGGGGAGCTGTCAGCTTTGGAGCTGTCTCACCAGCTCAGAGGAGCACGCCTAATTCTTGTGTCAGTGGCAGCAGTGTGAGACTTGCCTCCTCCAGTCACTCATTTCAAAACCATGAACTAACAGCTTCTGACAGATCAGAAAGGCTGTCAGCACATCTGACTGTCATTTTGGTGAAGCTTGATACCACTGTGGTAAAAACTCTAAAGCTTTTTTGTTGCTCTCAGTCTTTTCCTCTGCTGGTATTCTTCTTGATGACAGAGAGCAAAACTGTAACCATATCACAGACTTACTAAGCACTCTTTAAAGATGGCTTGCATCATCCTATGATCTTCTTCTATCTTGTTGACAATCCTCCTCCTCTGCATAGCAGATGGTTTCCTGGGAGTGGTCAGCAGGGCCTGCATGTATTCTGTGATAATGATGGCATTGACAGCCTTGATGAGGGCCTGTTCCGGAACAAAAGTACCCAGATTAACTTCCTTGCACTGGGTAAGGTTCAGACCACACCTATACCAGGGCAGGCTGCAGATATTCTGCCCATGCAGATGGCTGTCCCATTTCTTTGCTTAAGTATTAATTAAAAATGTTTGATCTAACATTTCTAGTGCTTCAAGCTGCATGTGGATGACATAAACTTTGACGGTAAGTGTGGAGACATCAAATCAAAAGCAATAGGACCAGTTAGCTGAGCCAAAGGTCACTCACACTCCAAGGCTGCTGTGACACTTGGCTTGGCTAACATAAATCACCTGGGAAGAGCTTGGGCTACAAAGTCACATGCAGCCTCCCTCGAGCATCCACACCTGACACAGGGCCCTGTGTCCCTCTTAGCTCCCACTGCCTGCTGAGGAAGCCCAGTGCAGAGGCTATGCAGTGCCCAACAGCAACAGTGAGTGTTTCTGATGGGGGGTGGGCTGCTACACAGAAACCACATTTTGTTAGCAATTGAAATCAGAGCAGGGTTAGGCTGCAGTCCAAAGGTACAGGAAATCCCCAGCTCTGTCCAAAATAGACAAAGCAAGAGACAGAGAGCTCTGGCACAGTGCTTCAGCACTGAGCTGCTGCTTGCCCCAGCACTAATGTGACATGATGTCCAGTGACAGGCTTTGAACAACAGCAGAATAGATCCTACTTTTTTTCTCTTCCATTACTTTTTTCCATATTGCAAAATGTTAATTAAAATCATCACTGACAAAGAGACTGCAGACCTGGGAGTCCTGTGCTTGGGAGGACACATGGCACGTGTAGCAGCAGCAAATTCAGCCTGCACTAAAAGAGAGGGTTCCCCAGGTACCAACCTCATTGCTGAAGAGGGTAAGATCCTAGACAAGTTTTTTAGGCTACTGTAAAGGTGAAAAAACTTGGGTACTTTGTGAGGTTGTTTGCCAATCCTCTCCATGTGACACCATGCCCTTTAAGAACCTGGAATTTTCACCCCTCTGTGTCCACTCTACATCAAAGGGATCAATAATCTTTACAAATAAGATTGAAGCACATTAGAAGCTGAGAAGATTTCCAATATAATGGTATTGGGGCAATGATAGCAGAGGAGGGAGCCCAGCATTCCCCTCTGTATTTGGGAGGTACATTAGTTTCCACATTTCTTCACTTGTTGATTTCTCTGCTGAAATTACAGAAAGGTCCCAGCTGTCACTACTCAACCCTGGTGGATAGAGGTACTAGACTGAGACCACTAGGTATTTAAAAGTCCATTTGACAACTGAGAAAACCGCAGTTTGGATTAAGGTTCTAACAGTGTGGCATCCAAAGGTTCAATTGCTAGTTTTACTGATTTCACAGAATAGAAAGGTTTGGGATGGAAGAGACCTTAAAGATCATCTAGTGCCATGAGCAGGTACACCTTCCACCAGAACAGGTTACTCAGTACCCTATACAATATGGCCTTGAACACTTCCAGAGGTGGGGCATCCACAACTTCTCTGGGTAACTTTTTCCAGCATCTCACCACTCCCACAGCAAAGAACTTCCTCCTAAATTCTAATCTAAACCTACTCTCTTTTAGTTTGAATACATTCCCCCTTGTCCTGTCACTACATGCCCTAGGAAAAAAACCCTCTTCATTTTTCTTGTAAGATGATTTCCTGAGTAACATCTTGTTCTCACTTTCTTACTTATTTCTTACCTCATATGTATCTGTTTTTTTCTTCCCGAAGGTCAAAAAGCTTTGATTTAAGGATTCAAGGATGTGGTCAAAACCACTGTCACACTTTTTGAAGTGGTCCTTCAGTGTTTCCTGAGGAAAAGAAACAGACAGAGTCAAAGGGTGCACATGTAGAGACACCACACAAACAACAGACACAGATTATTGTGCCTTTGCTCTTTCTGCCCTTGGAAACAGACTTCTCCACAAACTGCAGCATCCTGTGCCTTTATTTCAATGAAAATCAAAACATGAAAGAAAGAAAGAAATAATTCCAACTCAGGAAGGATGCACTAAGTTCTTAAGCCCAAACATGGAAGACTGAAAACCTGAGCCCTAGGTGTCCTGTTCCCCTCCAGGGTTGCCTGTGCTCTGTCAGAACCACCCCCAGTTCCCACACAGATATGTAGGCCTTTGGGACCGGCTGGCAATGAGCTCTGGAGACCAAAGCTGCACAGTGTAACCAGAGTTTCTCTTGTCATTTGCCTTTTGCTGCCTCCAACGTGCTTGAGGGAGCCTGTGCAATGAGGCTGAAGATGCTCAGGGGAGCTTCCCAGGGAAATGCACAAGATCACACACTGTTAGGAGCCTGGAATTCTGTGGTTTTTTCTGTATTTCACAAGGATGAAGGGTGTCTGGGCTAATAGGCTGATACTACAAAGTGTGAAGGGAGGGGACCTCATCTCAAGGGAGGGACACATTTCTGGTCAGCCTTCTCTACATCCTGACTACACAGCAGAGCCCTGGGCTCTGTCAGTTATCACTTCACTGGGAAGATGCCCAGCTGCTGGGAATGAATAAGTACCAGATGAGATTCAACTTTTGGGATCTGAGCAGCACAACAGCAAACACTACAAACAGTGAAACTGGGGTCCCCAAACTGGAAAAGGTGAAGCTGTCCATGTACAGATTCTGACAAGGCAGAAGAGAGTACTAGGCTTGAAGGCCGAACAATGGCTTCACCTTTTCCAAATCAAGACATGAGAGAGAGAAGTGTATGCCAACCATACGGTCTGCAAATAGTCAGAATTAAAATGGGTCTTCCATACCTTGACTTTAGAAGTGATGGTCTGCAGAAAATGCTCCATAATGTCATCTTCCATCCTGTGTAGAAATCCATTTACCTTAATATTCTGCTCAGTGCTGACACTGCAAATGTATATTAGCTTATGCCAGACAGTTCTGTTAAAAAAAAAAAATAAATATGGAAAGTATTGATCAGATCAAATCACACTATTCTCTCAGATCAAAACTCTTTCTACTGTAACCAACACGGCTGCCTGGGTAGTTGAATGGACACATGCCCAGGTCCAAAGCTAGGTCAGTGACCTGCATTTGTGTGCTCATTAAGACACTGCCACAAGGGCATGAAAGGTCAGTGCATGCAAATGCCACTTGTACCCATCACTAGTGAGATCAGATCAGTAAATATCCTAGTATTTTCAAAATCAAGTAAGCATGAAGCAGCCTCAACAAACAGTATTGGTGAGCATCCTGTGTGCCTTTGACAACATACAAATACAAGACAAACAATTATCTTCCATCAGAACTATCTTCCAGTCAGCAAATCCTGGTTAAAATTATCACCAGCTTGAAACCAGACATTTACATTCTGGAAAGGCTCAGTGTACAACTTCATTCTCAGTAAAGCTGTAAAGGATTACATAAAAGAGACTCATAAGTATTCAGTCTAGGATACAGCATCAGCAACACAAAAATACAACAAACAAAGCAGATACCTAGGCTCAATGCAAGGCTCTGATGTCAAGTAATCACTGTGCATATGTTGGATTTTGGCATTTTGCTGACTGCAGAGATCCCTGGATAACTTTACTTAGGAAAAAGAGAAGCAACCTTGTTTTCTCCATTGCTGCAAGTGCTTCTGAAATTAGCTTGTAGGTGCAAACATACTCCTCCACCCTTATGTGCTTTATTGCTTCCCTCCTTCCTAGCAACCCTAGGGAGAGCCTGGCATATTCCATGGGGTTTCATTCAGCAAAGCATTAAGATTAAGATTGCACCTACCAAGTGCACCAGCACACACATCTCAGCACAACCTTTATGAGGCTTTCCTGCTGGAGGACGATCAGGCCAGGGAAAAGTACAACATCACTACCCACAGTGGGGTTAGCCAGGGCAGTGTCCCCACACATGACATAGAGCTGCTGCCTTCCTTCTGCTCAGTGCAGGAAGGGGGAGATGGCTACAGACCCTGCACCTGCCTGGTAACAGGCCAGAAGTGGAAGTACAGCCCTGTGGCCCTGGCCACTGTCCCAGCCCCCATCTTATCTTCCCTCTTGCTTGGGCAGCCAGGGCAGCTCTGACGGGGTATTACTAACAGCAGCTGGCTTCCTCCATGCTTAGAGACTGGTGTGCACAGGGTTGGATGACCATATCCAGCTGGAGGCAAGGTTGGCCTCACACCAGAGTCAGAAGGAGATGAGAACAGCAGAAAACTCGTTCATGTCATGAGGCTCTGTTTTCTAACCTGAGAAGACAGCAATTCTCCAGGATTCGTAAGCTGCTGCAGATCTTCGGGCAGCTGTCAAGCTGGAGAAAGCTTCTTACTTCATCTTCATAGCTAAATTAAAACAGGAAGAAGTACTTTTAATCCAACCTTATGCTCCATAACACATCTATCAGCAATAGCAAACTGAAGAAATCTTCTGTGATTTTCTTTTTATCTCACAGATTCAATCCCCAAGGTGGGATCTACAGCATGACAAAGACAGTCTGTGTCCTGCCCAGCTGGTCAGGAAGGAAAACACAGGAACAGCAGAGAGAGCCCTTGAGCTGCCTGGGTACCTCTATCAGGGACCAAGAGGCAGGAGGCTGATTTGCAACACTTCCTTCTGAGAAGCAACTCAGGCTTTGCCGATAAAGCTGCAAAACAAAGTCTCAGTGTATATGAATAATACACAAGGTCTCTGAACTGCTTTGTCAGTCTCAGTCTAACAAACTGAAAGACTCAATTTTATAGCAATTTCCATCCTCTCATCATGTGGAGGGCCAAGGATCTTAAATCAAATCTCCATCCGAAATACTACCTACAACCAGCAGTCCTGGCATGTTTTGCTGCGGGGGATACACAGGGAGAGAAATACCCAAGAACAAAAAGAATATGAAGGGAGTTGGAGGAAGTGGTGAGAGGGCAGATGAGCAGACATTCATTCTCCTATGAGTACCAGGACGGGGCAGAACTCCCCACCCTCCCACAGAGCCAGCAGAAAGCACTGTGCCTGGGATGCACAGCCAGGGTAGGAAGGGCCAGACCTGGGCACTGGCTCATGGCTGACCCTCTTCCCAGGTGTGTCTAAGGTCTGAGCCTCTCCAGAAGTCCCCCCAAGGCTTTATCCTGTCCCAGCTACTCCAGATGCACTTTGTTCCCTCAGCTTTAGTCCAACAACAAATACTGAGCACACAAACAACAGTGAAGCGCTGTCTCTCCAGTAACAGCTTGATGAGAAACAGCCATCAAGATCCATATGAACACAGTATCACCAGCTGCTTCATCAGGATTTCTTTCTTTTGACCATGAATGTTGCCAAGGAGGAAAACAGCATCCTTCCTACCTCTCCAGGAACTTCAGGTACTCCTCCAGGCACTCAGCTTCCACCTTCTCGCTCAGGCTCTCGCTGACACGCCTGGCAGCCTCTGTCTTCTCTGTTAGTATCTGTGGATTTCAGTGTGTGAGAGGAGAACTGGCCAAAGCCATTTGTTCCCTATGCAAGGAACAAGGATACATCCCACTGCTCATCCTGCAGCAAATCCCTCTGCCCTCTAGGCACCAACTTCTGCTACAGTTTTTAGAGTCCTCATGGAAATAAATGTATTTTTCATCAGCCTGACTGTAATGCCTGACCCTACACCTTTGCTACTACTGTTTTTGTTGTGGTCAGCAGGGCTGTGCTTGGGTAAAAGCCTGTCCCTGCAGATGTTCTCTGCTGCCCATGTCCAGCCTGGTAGCTCAGCTCATACATACACCTGCCATCTGCAGGAGCACCTGTGCAGATAAACCTGACTCACCTTGCAGATAAATTTGGGTGCAGCCACTAAAAAGAAGGTTATGCAGACCTAGCTGTGTGCCCTGCACCTCTGTCAGGGTCTCTACATGGGAGGCCTGAAATGGGCAGGTATCACCTTCCCAGACACCAGCACTTACACCTGACACAGCTCTGTGTGTTAAACCCTATAGCACATGTCCTGCCCCACTGACCCATCTGGGTGGCCCAGGTGTCTGCAGGAGGTGGGCTGTGCCAGACAGCTCAAAATTCACCCCTTATTGGGCAGGCTTGAGCAGGTGGCAACTTAATGCTGCCCATTAGTTGCCCTGTGGAAACAAAAGCTTGCAAGGGGAGGAGAGCCAGATGGATAAAAGGAGACAGATGGACCCATATGCTGTGCCCTCACAGTGCTCGTGAGCCAGAGACAAAGGGTGACTCACATCATGAATGGGTTTTTCCTCTGCTCATAACAGATGTAAAAGTTCACCCAAAGGGACAGGATAAAATATGCCACCCCAAAGTGTCAGAAAACCACAGATTATGAGTTTCCATGACACCTTGTTCGTTTTCTGTCAGAAGTTTAAGTGTCAGCCTGAGAAAATTGAGGAGGTGGTAATTTCATAAGGCTTTCCTGTTAATCCAGGCTTTTCCATCACCCACCCCAGAGCATTCAAACTTGTCAGTTGTATACACAACAGAGTGAATCCACTCATGCTGAAGCATGGGCAGATGTTACAGATATGAGAACTATGGGATTCAAAGTATGCCTTGTCCTAGTTCCTGTTAGAAAACTTTCCACTGTGAGCCAGGAGCAGGAAAAAAAAACCAACATCTTGGTAGTTAAAAATCACTCTAGCACAGGTACATCACTGGGCACATCACTGCTCCATTGCTCCAGCAGGTCCAGGACAAGACAAGGAGGAAACAGCCCCTGTTGTGAGCTCTTCATTTGGTGCCTGGGTCTGAGATGGGCCAGAAAAGCCAGTGCTTGCCAACTAAAGCTCTATCCTCACAAGGAAAACCAGCTTCTGTTGATCTGTGATGCTTCCAATGCCTGAGGTTGTCTGCCATCCCAGAGTCCCATGGAGCTACTTCCCCCTATCATGACCTGAAACGGGACTGTCACTGGGGTGGTGGAAGCGGAGAAGAAAGATGCAGTCATGACAACCCACAGCCTGCTCCTGATCTCCAGCATCATTTCAGCCCACATGTAAACTCCAGGATTTATTTTAATCCTTCTGCAGGTCTTGATCCAAACACCCTCTGCCCACAGTATATGCTGCTCACAAATCAGCAGGGTGTGCTCCTGCAATGCCCTTGGAGCACTCGCCTTTGCTGTGCTCTGCAGAATCCGTCACACAGCCTGACCCACCAGGGCAGCAGCCTCAGCAGGAACAAACAGGGAGCAGCCTGCCTGCATTTTGCACTGCCAGCCATGGGGCCCTGCCACGGCTCAGCAGCTCTCTCTGCTTTTATAGAAATGCTCTGCAGAGCTCACACAGAGTAGACTGGGTAACACACACCACAACTTTCCAAAAGGTTATGTAAAGATCCAGGAGCATGTATGAAAATGCAGCTTCAGCTTGAATCAGCTCAAGCTTATCCTTAGTTTAGTAAGGGGTTTTTTTTTTCTTTATGTATGCCTGGGACAAAAACAGGTTTGGGAGCAAACAGACACAGCTTAAGTATGGCAGCCAGCTTGCAGGCTTTTAACACATTGAGCTTAGACTGAGACATGCATAACTGGGTCTTGCCAAATACCACATACTTGTGGACAAAAACACGACTGCCTCAAAGTATGGGAGCTTTTCAGTTCCCCCCAGTTTACCTCAATGACTGCAGCATCTGCACAAGGGGGTTTCCCAATATCAAAGGCTTCTTTCAGCGCTTCCCCTACTTCCTTCTAAATGATAAAAGAAAATTAAACAGTACAGTTAAGATACAATGGCATTCATAACAAGTTAGGTTTCCCAGACTCTCATTATCCATTTGGACTAGATGAATTTCTGCCTCCATTTTTTGGCTGTCTCATTTAACCCAAAGCCTGGCTATTTTCCAGCTGACCTAATAACATTATTCTGTTTTGTTCTACACTGTTTGTTTGAGTTTAAATGATTTGCAGCTTTCTTTCATCCCAGTGTCAGCTTGGGTTATCTACAGTCTTCCCTAGTTAGTTTAGCTCAAATGAAGGCACCCACACAGCAAAACAATGCTTAGACACATCTCCATGCTGCCAGCTACTGTAGCTGAGATTTTCCACCCTTCCTCACTCCAACCAGTGCACGCAGAAACCAGCCAGCATTAATTAAAACCATTCCCTTGCTTGAGCCAGGGACTTGTGACTGCAAAGAGGAGCCGGGTTAGTGTTCAGAGCTACTGTCATGGTGAGATGGGCCCCATGAGGCTGGATAATGGGAAATTTCCCAAGACTTGGCTGGCTTATGCTAGTTTGAATGGCTGTAAAAACAAAATTAGCACTGCAGAGAAGGGGCTTGTTACTTAAGACATGATCTGACCTTTATAGAAGCTTTAAACTCAAAAGTCTGGCTTGCTTACTTATTCTTTCATTTCTGAATCTCCCTCCAAGGAATGTAAAGTCCAATCTCCCATTTTGGTTTTTGTTCTCTTCTGGCTAATAAATTAGGAAATTTGTGGCTGTCAGCTGAAGAATTTCATCAAAAGTATATTCAAAGCAACTGCTCTCCCGTATTCACTGAAAAGTGTTAATCAAAGACAAATAAGCAGTTGTAAACAACCCAGAAAAACTTCTTTCCTCACAAGTGCCATCACCTGACTGTGAGCAAGTGTATGAGCATGATGTGCTGAGATAGCACATCCCAGCTGAGTTGAACAAACACTTCAAGCCTGCCCCCCACAATGGGACAAAGCACAGATTAGTGGGGAACTGCAAGGCAATTAATAACTTGTTGAGGACAGCACTCAGTTGTTTTGGATCAGATGATGTGTCTGAATTAGAAACAGTTTACTTGTCTGTAGCTCTTGTGGTGATACCAGCACATCAGGCACTAAAGTTCTAATGTGGAGAGGACCAAAACTTCTGCTGTAATAAACAGACCCAGTTTACTACTTGTTTCTGCAGTCTGACCGAGATGTTGCAAGGCTTCAGATCCATGGGTGGTCAGTACACCTGTGTTGACTGCAGAACACTCTTCTCCTTTCGTCCATTTGAAAAACAGAGGGGTGGTGTGGAGAAGACAGACCCAAGTGATCCTTTGCAGGTCAGTGTAAATGAGTAGGAGAATAAGCCCTAGCATCACACTGGAATGACTGCATTGAACTCTTGTAAAATCCTCCAGTACAGCAAAGGCAGAGGTGACAGACTGGCAACCTAATCAATGGCATCAGCATTTTCTGTTCAACAATTTTGTAATCTCAAAGGCACAAAGCTCTCTTGCTCCAGGTGTGTCCAGAGTGAGGGGAATGCTGCCTGCATGCAGAGCTGACCCAGTACCCCACAAAACCACAAAAGTGGTTTTGAACCCTGCATGGCATCTGGGCTCTCAGTGCCTTCAGACATGCTCACAGTTCTCACCACTCATTTCTGTTTAAAGTGCTTTTAGTTTGCACAGATATCAGGCTACCACACCTAGTGATAAGCCAGGTATTCATAAACAAAGCAGACCATGGCTTATTCTGGTCAGGTTCTTCTCATTCTGAAAAAATTTAGTCATCCATTGAAGTGGCAAAGCACACACCATGTGATTTAGTCACAATAATATACAACAATTGTTAAGAGACAGCAGCAGGATATTTGCCCAATAACAACTTCCTGTATATTAGCATAGTGAAGGGCTGAATTAGCCTAGAAGTAGAAATAGAGGGATAAAGCAGGTTTCATAAGCTGTGCCACTGAGCTAAAGAGACATCCATAATTTTTCCATATGGAGTCAGCTTATGTCCACTTAAGCTCATTATCTTGAATCTGGAGCTGTTCCCAAGCTGCCAGGTTTGAAGCAAGCAGGCACAATGCTGTGACACTCTGTCCAGCACTTCCAGCTCTGTTCTTTCTATACAACTCAGCACTACATAGACCTGTGATGCTTCAGGATCCAAGGTAGCATGAAAACTCGGGGCAGCACAGCGGAAAACAGAAAGCCCATGGTTAAGCAAAAGCATTCTTCAGCTATTACATTCGAGGGAAATAAAAAAAAGATTCAAATTCCCATCACTGTTAGTCAGCATCTTTGAGGGTTTGTCAATGACTCAGTGACTTGCTCTAGGATAACCTCAGTGGCACTACCCTGAGTTAAGTCACTTCCTTCATTGAAACAAATGCTAAAAAAAGAGCTTATGACCACATGGTCTTCCCCAGGGTAATGATTAAAAACAACCCATTAAGATACTTAAACACTGAAATCAGTAGGCTTTAAGTATATTGTCACCAGCTGGCACTTCTACTCCCATGTTTGTTACTACCTTCATGTTCTCCTTCGGGGAGTAATTCTTGAGGAAAATCTCTGCAATTTAGAGAACTTTCCTTGGGATGATTCAGCAGTTTGCCATGAAATTTCCCCTCCTCTGCTCCCCAGGGTCTGGTGGAAATGAAAAGCAAGAGAGCTGACTGTGGTAACTCCTGCTGTTGCATTTCAGCTTTAGCTGAATAAAAGAGGCCCCGCTGAGTTTTCCAAATAATGTGGTTTTCTCTGGAACTCCCCGTTGCTACAACACATCTTCCCTGCTTCATTTGTATTCCACATGTCTCAACAGAATTCTTCAAAGAGGGACTGTTGCTGAGAAAAGAAAGAGATGCTGCAGCCGCAGGACTGGGGTCACCTGTGCTGCTGGGTGGGCACCAGCTGCATGTTTTCTTGTGCTGAGCTCTGGAAATAATCTTTGCTCCAATGTCAGCAGTGTCAGTCCAACAGGCTGGAAAGGACTGTGAGGGGTCCACACACAGACAAACTTAGCAGCCTCAATATCCTGCACAGCTGAGGCAAGGGGGCTGTAAAAAAACTCAGTTGTTCCACACAATGGATCATTAACAGATGGAGAGAAGATTAACAACATTTTGATATGGCCTTCAGTAAGGAAGTGGGTTTCACCTATAGTGTCCTTTTCCTCCAGATAAATGAGCTTCTGAGCAGAGCAGATTGCAGCTCTCTGAACATACAGCAATGGGATGAAGAGAGATCTGCAAATGTACCAGCATTTCCTTGCTAAGGAGCAAGGACAGGACAGCCTCCCTTTGGCAGCAGACAATCATGGATCTTCACACCTGGGCTCTGCAATGAAACTCAGTCAAGATGGAGACCTTGGGACTCACACATGCCTGAGCAGAGCTGGCTATTTAAGAAGGAGAACCCTTAATTTAAAACCGTGGGAATAAAACAGGCAGATTGGGGTAAAACACCCGAGTTCTTACCCGTGCGATTTCAAGTAATTTTTCTTCAGTCTTCAAAAGAATCCACACGAGGCACTGTGCACCAAGGGAAAGGCTGTGCTGGGGGATGTGCCCTGGTCTCACACATGCCTGGCTGCCACTGTGTACAGAAACAAGAGCTCAGCCAGAGGGGCAGTTTCCTGCGGGTCCACAGCATTGCCTGCCTGGCACCCCCTGCTTGGCACCACACTAAGCAAACAGGGCACCCTGCAAGAACCCAGCAGTGTTTGCCATGTTTGGGCAGCCACAGCACAGTAGATGATCTTTACAATGGCCTTTTGCCAGCTTTTCTTTTGTGCTGCTTCTTTTCCTTCTTCCTACATTTGCTGCCCAAATTAAGGTCTTTGCTTGTTGTTCCCCTCTCCCCTTCCCTCACTGCTGCTACTCAATTCCTTCTTAAGCTTGGGGAGAGTCTCCCAAGCACACTTGCATGAATGCACAATTTTGCAAGTGTCACATATTCTTTCTGAATGGAATAAGAAGTAGCTATATACCAAGACAACTGCACCTATGCATGAGCTTTCATAGAGGTTGTAACTGTATTTAGAGAGGAAAAATCAAATGCATCTGGCATCTCTGCTCTTTTCCACTTTTTTCACTGCCATCTGACCAATACAGTCACTGGTCTTACTTGTTTGGGTTTTTTTTCTTGAAGGAATTCTGCATTTATATAATACATCTTTTTCTATATTTGACTTTTCTTTATATAATTAAATTACATAATTTTTCACCTCCAATTTTTTTAAGTTTTCGATGTTTCATCAGTCCATTACTCCAAAGTTTTACCATTTTAAAAGTAAAAAGGGATGCCTCCTGACCACATTTACCATGTTCCAAATGATGGCCAGTGTGTACCCACCACACTGCTTCCCTCCTTCAGGAGCTGACTGGAGGAAGAGCCCACCTGATGAACTGCTTATGAGCTAATTAAGCATTTATAGGTGTAATTCAAACAAGGAATAGAGAAGCCTTAGGCTTGGATGAAAGCAATCAAATAATCCAAATAGACTGAGAACTATTAGGGCATAAGTAGTTTGGAGCTGCCAAGTAGCAATTAAATCACAGACACAGAATCAAATGCCTTGCCCACCATAAAAAAAAATGAAATCACAGGAAAGTTTCAGGCTTTGATGACACACACAGGCTTTGAATTCACATTGGGCCAAAGTGTCCTAGATGTGTCACTCTTCAGAGGAAAGCCATATCTCTTTCCCCAAACTTGGGCAGGAATTTAATGATCTGCTACGTGTTTTTCCTGAACTCTAATGAAGGAAATACAGAAACAACTGGGAAAACCACAAACCAGATAAAGCAGTGGGAGAACCAAGGGCAGAATAAGAGAAATCCATAGAGCACCTTGCTGACATAAAGGCCAGGGAAAATTACTTGGAGGTAATTGGAGTATTATGAACCTTGTTAAAAAAGGCTTGATGCAAGGAAATAAATTGTTCAATAAAGCAGAAAACTGTGCATGTCTAACAGGAGTCCAGCAGAAAAATTCCTGCCCAACTCAGGTAAACCCCTGAATCTGGTATTAAGGATTTAAAAAGAGGAAATACTGCAATAAAAAAAGGCTCCGGTTCTGAGAGCACAGAAGATAAAAGAGGCAGTAGGCAAACCTAAACTCAGCTAGAGTCTTGATCATCGCTGTGTTATCAGGAAGCAGGTACTGTTCTCAGAAACAAAAAATAAAGATATAGAAAAAATGTAGGAAAAAAAGTCCCTCAGACATACCTTTTGTACATTTTAATGCTCCATTCATAAATTAAAAGACTTTGGCTGAAACTGAAACTGTTACTGTCAGTAAGTGTGGCAAGGTGAGAACACAAAGAGGCATGACAGCAGCGGGCATAGGTGATGAGCAATCCTGCTTCCTTGAAGATATCACTCCTGTGCTCCAGGCTGGGGAGAAATGTCATTTCCAGATTATTCAGGTGCTGTTTTAGTGCAGTCTCATCTGTGTTAGCAGAGGAACCAAACAGGGGGATCTGAGCGGTCATGTATTGCATTAGCTTTTCCTCCAGATCTTTTCTCCAGAAGTTTGGGCTCCAGGTGGAAACAGACTCCGTCTCTAGACCATTACCAAGCCACTCTACTTCCTTCTGCTTCTCCCACTTCAGTGATTCCCCCACTGACTGCAATGGCTCCAGGAGCATCCTGTCACTTCCACCAAGTGCTTCTCCCACTACAGTCCACATTTGTTCAGCCAGTAGCACATAAATTGATTCAGATGTTTTCATACCATCATTTCCAGAATGCTCCAGATTATGAATTTGTTCACAAGCTTCCAAAAATTTTCCTTGCTCAATGAATCTGCAGATGGTTTCCTCTGCAACAGAATAAGAACACAATTTGCTGTTTGTTCACATGTCTATAGGACCATAACTTTAATATGCAAGTTATGAAGTATCTTGTTTATATGTATTCCAAAATTCCTCAGGATCTACTCAAGATCAGCCCAGTTAAGGTCTAGCACTAGCATCTATCAGTTTCCTCAGGGAAAGCACTTTTCCATTTCTAATGTTCTTTCATCCTTTCTTGTCCAGGTTAACCAAGCCTGCAGATTAGTCTGCAGCTTTGTCCCATCATTCCAGAGACCTCATCATGTGAGCAATGAAGGTTCATTAATTTCAATCTTTCCTTAAGAAATGTATCTCCTGTCCAGAAGAAAACATTAAAGAAAGGACATCTTCTGAACAAGCCAAAAACTAAAGGTCAAGCCTGGAAGGAATTCTCTGCCTCCTCTACAGAAATGCTGGCAGGACCAAAGTGCTGCAAGCTCCCTTGGAAAGAAGATTTTCAGTGCTGCTTGTTTCCAATGTATCTTACCTAGCACATCCAGCCAACCAACAAGAGTTAAATGTACTCTCACAACAGATACACAGAGCTGTAGGGTTTTTTCCATGAGTTTTATAGATTACAAGGCTGAGCAACAAAGGGTTAAGGTTTGTCCAGAGGTATCTGGAGCACAGCCCAGAGGACAAATCGAACTTGATGAGAATGCAGGGAAAATTAAACAAAGCCAGAAGCAGTGGAACTTAAATAATTCAGGATACAACTTTGGATGTAGAGTGAAGTATGAAAGGAGTATGAACTTCCACTGTGTTTTGCCAATATCCTTCCTACCTTTCCTCTATGAAAACATTTCATATGTGAAGTAATAATTAAATTGAACAGTACTGGAAGGAGGAACATGACATGAAGCGGAGAACAGTGGATGCAAGGATGTTCAGCAAAGCAATTGGCAAGTTATTCAGGAGGGGTCTACAAGCTGCACCTGTCCTGCCTTGATACATGCAACACATGGGAAATGTTTAATTGGCACAACCAGTCTGTGTGCAACCCACTTCCCCCTCCCATCTGTGGAGGAACAGCACAGTCACACAGATGGGGTGTTGGTCACACATACATTGTCTTTCTGACAAGACACATCAGTAGTCTTACAGGTAAAAATAAGAAGAGTAAAGAGAAACATCTGTGAGGCAAATAAAAAGTGAAATACAGAAGTGTCCAGAGTAGTTAGTGTAGAGTTCAGAAGGGACAAGAATTCAGGCGATGGATGGGGAGGAGGAGAGTGGAATGCATCTAATCCAGAAGCTGATGATAAACAAGAGCCTGTGGGACGGGAGGGGCAGAGAAGATCCAGGCCTGAACCCAGAGATAACTTCAAGGTTACCTGCAGGCATCCCTCTCTCCACTCCTTTCCTACTGGTTGGCCTCTTCAGCAAATTCACTGCCACATCCTCAGCACCAACCTTCTCCACCATCTCCTTCCCACCAACCACAGTCTTCAGCAATTTTCCTGCCAAGGTTTTCAATGTCCCTTTCCTCTTCACCTCCTGCTTCTTTATCCGCTCATGTGTGGCCTTAGGCAGTATTCTTGCATTTTCCCCAGCCATTTTCTCGCCCTTCTTGTTGCCTCCTCCCACAAAGGCTGCCCAGGAGTGTTTTGTCTTCCTCATGATCCAATCAGATTCAGGTGTTTTCTGTCCAACTGGGAATACTATCTGAAGAAAACATGGGAAACAGTTCTATGCAAAGTAATCTTAGTGTCTATCTCCTAAAGAAGTTCTCTCTTCTTCTGATTTTTTTTTTTTTTTTCTGTGCAGCGACAGGCTCAGCTCCCTTTAAAAAAGTCTAACCTGGTTCCTGTCTGCACCAAGTGAGGACACTTTTATAGGCTTCCAGCCCTCTTATGCAATCTTCCCTCTTCTGGGTAAATAATGTCAAAAACCTCATACATAATCTAACCACAACCACTGGGGGAAATCCAGGGGTATTTTTGTAATTTTTTAAACAACTGCAATATCCTGGCACTGCCAGTTATCTTGATGACAATCCTACCAGTTTAAGGGAGTTGATTAGTAACAATTTCTATGAAGCACACATACTTTTCCACCTACCTCACATGCCCAGGCTGCACCTGAGTTTTTCTTTGGTAGGGAGATCACATCTAGGTTTGGGGCCAAGATTTCCCTCACCTCCCAACAAGCCTAGTGCCAGCCACCAGGGATGTAAAGGCCCAGAGAATGGGTATTGGTTTCCATGTTTTAGTAACACTATTCAGAGGAGAAGTGAGCAATCTCAGCTTTCCGGAATGTGCAATATTCCAGCAACTATGTACACTATTATGTATTATTTTAAATTTATATACACTCACATGGATATAAATGGCATAACATGGCAGCAATCCACCATATGTGTGTGTGTGTGTCATTACATGTATGCACACATATGGATCAGTTCACCAGCCAATATCCACAAGTAAAGAAAAAGGAGGTGTATGTCTGCTTGGCATGAGGTCCATACTGGGCTGCTAAAGGTTCTGACCATAAACCACAGAAAAAATTCCTCCACAGAAAGAAGTATCCTTTAAATCCAGGAGCTTGTATTTAAAATAGAATTTATTTTTTTTTTTAAGTTCCTACACTGCTGTGAGAACTTGGAGAAGAGTTGAAATGCTGTCCTTACCACGCCCTTCTTGCAAGAGAATCATAAACTGTGTTTAATTCTCCTTTCCATTATTATAAAGATTAAATCAAAAACTTGAGGATTTTCATCAGCTGAGGACAGTTTGTATTAACCATTACAAGCTGTATTGATTCAAAACCATACACTATGCAACAATGATTTCAGGGGTATAAATTTAAGGTGTTATTTTTCCACACATCATCTAGACTGTTTCAAATATATTAATTCATATTTCTGGGTTTAATGCCTGCAGTTTCTTCCAAGATTTTCTACATTTTCATGTTAGTAAAATTCCACTAGTTTCCTGCTTGGAAACCAAGTAAATGTTATGTTGTTCTGGCTCTTTTATCAGTGCTTAATTCCGCCAGCATGTTATCACAAAGCCGTTTGATTCATTAGTAACAACAGAGAGGAGGAAATAAATACATTTCATTTGGAAAGAGAAACAGAAATTCCAGCAGTGGTCACACATTTGAGCTGCTTCCAGTAGGAAATACTGAGGTTGCAAAATACAGTGTTTTCCCAGCTTGTGAATAAAGCTGAAAATTTAGAGGCTTTATACACATTCCATTTTGACCTTAGTTTTTAATCAGCTGAAGTTAAAATGTTTTACTTGGAAGGTTATAGCTGCACAGTATATGAATACAAGATGCAGTAAGAGGGTCATTACTCAGAGAAGAATTCCAGGCGTGCTGAAACCCTTCAGCAATATTTTCCCATGAAAATTCCAACACAATATGTTTATGTTTCACTTCATCAGCATTTTTCCAACAAGCCTGTCTCTAACAAAAACCATTTCCCTAGATTTCTCTGTGGAAGGAAATTAGATGTCAAAGTGCCAGACCTGAAGGCAAGACTCTCTACAGGACACAGATTTTGAGCACACTTACAATTGCAGATCGTGCCCTAAACTGTGGCAGCATGATGTGTGGGAATTACTGTGTTTTCCCAGAAAGCTTCTTACAAGGGAATAAAATACTAGCCTGGAAATACAAGTGGAAAGTGAGGAGTGACTGCAGAGATGGACTGACATCCTGAGGCTAGGATCAACTCTTATTCCATGGATCACTTGACCCACCCAATCAAGACAATGTCAGACATTCCCCAAGACGAGAGTGCCCTCAGGGCACAGTCCACCCAAGCACTGCAGCACCAACAACCCACTCTCCTCTGTGGCTCCTCTGTCCTGCTTCTCCTCACTCACAAACCAGGGCAGCCAGAGGCAGAGCAGGCCATGGCAGCAGGCAGCCAGGAGCTCCCTGTGAAGGGACAGCAGGATGGGGATGGTCAGTCTGACCAAGGATGCTGAGCCCAGAAGCAGCAGGAAGTCATGCCCCAGCCATCAATTGTCACCCACTCTGCACCCCCTCCCCACAAGTGCTTTGGGTTGAAGGATGTTGTCTCTGAGGGGAATGCACTCTTGCAGGAGGGGACATGCCACAAGGAGCTGCCCAGAGGCAACCAGCAGCCTGCTTTTCTGGGCCTGTGTGCCTTAACAGCACATGCATGGTGTACAGGTCTCTCCCCTCTGTCTTTAAGGCTATGTTACTGCTCAGGTTAAAATTTTGCTGTTAAAACATGGGGATTATTTGAGTCTCTAGGAACATCATCTACCACAGTGCTCCCATGGATGGTGTTATGTCAAGACAGGGAAAGCTTACAGGGAAGCTACACCTTTGCATAAATTGTAGAGACTAAACTAGAACAGAGGTTTTTCACAAAGAGTTTACATGAAGTAAGGGGGAATGTTTACTGTCCAAAACCATTGTTTTGGGCAAAGGAACTGGGGCACAGCCACGTTTTATCTGCTCCTTCCATGGGCTCCTGAGCTGCTCACCCAAGGGGAGCCATTCCAAGGAAAGAAGGGCATTAGAAAACCACAAGGACACAGGACCAAGAACAAGGACAGTTCTGCCTCTGAACAAACTCCTTTGTCAGGTGTACCAAATTACTTTCTTCTTCCTCCAAAGCTACTTCTTGGAAGCCAGCCCTCTCCTTCTTCCTGGTGTTTCAATGCCTCCATTTATTCACAGTGGGATGTTGTCTAGCAGGGTCATTCTCCCTGCCATGACCCTGCTATGCTTACTGTGAAAGAGAAGCAATTTGTCTCCTAGGAACATCCCTAGCATTCAGGAGTTTCCCTCATTTCCTGGAGATCCTGGAAAAGTCCACAGCCTCCCCACATGACTGAGACTCTGTCTTCCTATCTTGGAAAAACTGTAACTCCTTTGTCTTTGGGATTTTCCATTAAACAAGTGAATATCTTGGACAATTTTTTTTATTATTTATCTGTTGACTTAAATCTTTATATTGCTGTTTCCCAATTCTTCTGCCTATACAGAAAAGGTCTTCATAATAAGTGGATTGTGTGTCTGATCTGAACAATAGTTGTTTGGTCTTGATGCTACCCAGATGAAGTCAGACTATTAGTGCTACAAATCAAATGACTTTGCAAGAGTCCAATTACATTAATATTCCAGCTCCAGCAATGGAGTGATGTCCCTGCTTGCTTTGCAGGGACACTACACAAACACAGTCAGGCATAGACAATGGAAACTTTGTGCTCAGTAGCATCTGCTATATGAAATACACTTGGTCCTAACAGGCAGGCAGATTGCAGGAGAGAGAGAATTTTCGCCTCTTGTTTCCAGCACATGCAGGTACTTTCCACCACTTTGAATCAAAGGCATGAAACATGACAGAAAGGAATATTAATCATGATGATAAAACATGCAGAGCATGGCACAGAAAGGTGTTGGCTTCCTAGGCTATAAATCCATGCAAAACCACTTTGTGAAGCTAGGCTGCAGTCTGACAATGTGTTCCTCCACTCACACACAGCACCTCTGATTTCATCAGCAATCAAAGAGCAAGTCTCTATTGCAAGCAAGGTAGGTTTTTTTGGAGAGAGAAAACAAACCAACAAAGAAACAAAACAAAAGGGCCTTCCCCTCACATTTGACATTGCAGCTGCCATTGCCATCACAGTTATATACAAGAGGTGACTTTGTCTATTGTGCACAGTTAGATGTTTATCATCCTGTGGAAAATGTATATTGATTCTTATTTCCTAAGGAAACAAGACAGCACAGCCAGAGGTTGCATGTATCTCTGTATTCATGTGATCCCATGATCACATTAGGATCCCTAATGCACAAGAGTGGATCTTAAGCCAGTTTTAACCAATTTTAAAGCTAGTTTTAACCAAACCGACAGAAGGTGTCTCACCCAAAATAGTACACCCTTATACACTTCATAAACATACACGTCTGAGGAGAGGCTAGACCTTCACTGCCCCTGCTAAGGAAGAGACCACAGCATGAACTCAGCCTTTATTTCACACCAGAAACTCCACCTGGCAGCTCAGTCTGAAGGTACACAAACAAGGTTTCCTTGTCTCTGGTGCTCACCAAATCCCCTGAACACTCCAGATAACGTGTGTGTGTGTGTGTGTGCAAGAGCAAATAAAGCAGCACAAATATTTAATACAGGCAGCCTCTCCCATAGCAACAGATGAAACAAAATTTCTTCCCTACAACGACTCCTGGTCCCAGGCTGCAACCTTTTGCCTCCTGAGATCTGTACTGCCCTGGACAG